GGCTCTGCGCAGGTTCCAGAAGGGTCAACCGGCGCTGCCCGGCAAAGCGGGCGGCTGGGACGCCGGCCACCTGGCGGCCATGAACCCGGCCCCCGGCTGCGGGCGTTCCCGACACGCCGGCCCCCGTTGCAGGCCCGTGAGCACCCGCACCCCGGACCCCGCCGCCCCCGCCCTGGCCCCCGCCCCAAAGGCCCGCCCCAAGCGCTACCTGCACACGCTGCTCCGGGCGCCTGCTGGCCGGCAACCCGAGGACGCGGCGCAGGCTGGGGGCGCCCAGGCCTTCGCCAAGAGGACCCTGAGCTGGAGGCTGGTGGGGGAGGGCTACAGCCGCCAGCTCTCCGCGGACGAGCAGCGGCACGTCTTCCGCCTGGCCTTCCGCATGTGGAGCGAGGTGACCCCCCTCACCTTCCGGGAGGACCTCGCCGGCCCGGGGGCCATGGTTGACATAAAGCTGGGATTTGGACGAGGTGAGAGGGGCCAAGACGGTGCGTCCTACCTGTCCTCGCTGCTGGCAGGCGGGTCGCTCTGCCTCTCCCATAGGCCGAGGCGGGGACCTCAGCATAATGGGGACTTCGGGTCAAACAGACCGACTCAGGGAACCCCACCCTGGCCTCCTGCTCGCCTCAGTCACCCAGAGCAGTGGCACCAACCCGCTGCCTGGCTGTTCTGAGATGGCACCTGGGGGCGCATTGTAAGCCTCTGTGGATGTTGCTTTATTACAACTCGCTGGGAAGGGCACGCGTGTCACCCTGCAGAGCCCAGAGGGTCTCATGGGGACACGTCAGAGGAGGTCAGCCAGGGGGCATGGCTCAAGGTGCTCACATGGGCTCGGTGGGCTCGGTGGGCTCCTCAGGGCACAAGGCAGATGGCCGGTCCTCCCCAGGCCCACCCCTCCTGCTGCGTGGGTTTGGACACAGTCACTTCTCAGCAGCCCCCTCTGGGAACTAGGGGTCCCGAAGGCGGCCCCACGGTCTCCCTGGAGTCACGTCCTCGTGTGAGAAGCGCCCAGAGCACCGTTGGTTGGAAACGATGTGAATGGAAGGATGTGACCGTGGACAGCGCCAGCTTTACTTCCTGACCACAAGGCGGTCAGGGGCCAGCGCAGACCTGTCTCCTCCTCCTCCTCCTCCATGGCCTGCAGCGGTCCACGGCCACCCGCCCCCAGCTCCGCTCGTTCCCACAGCACTTAGTGCGCAGCTGTTTCTGTCTTTAGACTTTGTGGATTTTTATTGATTTCAGAGAGGAAGGGAGAGAGAGAAACATCAGTGAGAGAGAATCACTGATTGGCTGTCTCCTGCACACCCCCCATTGGGGACTGAGCCTGCAACTGGGCATGTTCCTGACCCGGAATTGAACCGTGACCTTCTGGTTCATAGATGAGACAGTCAGTGGGGCTGGGCTGTGTCTTTAGACTTTGTAACAGTTTATAAAGAACTGCGGCTCATGCAGCCTCAAGTGGAGGAATTAGTCCGGGCTGGACAGCCAGCCCCTGGGGCCTGGGGACCGAACAGGTCTGTGCTCCCAGGTCCCGCCAGGTGGGGAGTCTGTGCAGCGGGCACTCCTCGTTCACCTGCCCCCCCCCCTCCCCCGCCAGGCCGGCACCTGGGCTGTCCTCGGGTGTTCGATGGAGTCGGGCAGGAGTTTGCACACGCCTGGCGCCTGGGCGATATTCACTTTGACGATGACGAGCACTTCACCCCGCCCACCAGCGACATGGGCATCAGCCTCCTCAAGGTGAGTGGTCGCAGCTGATCGTAGTGACGGGGCAAGGGGCAGCGTGGGCGGGAGGGAGTCCAGGCGGCCAGCCTGTCCTCCTGAGAAAGTTCCCTCCTCCTGCCCAAGCCTCTCCAGGCACAGCCTGCCCCCCCCTGCCCTCCCCCCACCCCCCGGCTGGCCCTGCACCCATGGCTTGTGTTCCCTTCCAGGTGGCCGTCCATGAGATTGGCCACGTCCTCGGCTTGCCTCACAGCTACAGGGCAGGATCCATAATGCAGCCAAATTATCTTCCCCGCGGGCCTGCGTTCGAGTTGGACTGGTCAGACCGGAAAGCAATCCAGAGGCTGTATGGTAAGACTTCTGGGAGGGCACCCTCTGAGTTGACAGAGGGCCCCGCCCCTCCTCAGTCTGACACCCGAGCAGCTGCCTGCCGGCTCTGGGGCAGCAGTGATGGGCAGCCCTGCCCAGACCAGGCGCGTGGAGAGCTAAGCGCATGCTCTTGGGTTTGTTCCCCCGCGTCCTCTCTTTCCCGCGGTTCAGTATGTTCCCTGGAGGCAGGAGGGGCACGCGGTGGTTTTCTAGGCCAGTGGCCACCGGGCCAGGCGTCCCAGGAGAGGGACGAGAGCTGGGAGCGAGGGAAGAAGCTGTAACCTCAAGGCGAAGAGCAGCATGGCCTTGCGGGAGGAGCTCTAAGGTCTGATTGTTCGGGCCGAAGTGCGGGTGGTTAACCGCCTGTTGGGAGGGATTCATGATTTGGCGCTGAGGCTGCAGGGAAGGGAAGCTGCCCTCTGTTTCTCCGTCTGCGGCAGGGACTGTCCCCATTTCTGTGCGACTCAGCCGCCTGTTCTCGGCACGCAGTGCGCTTGTTGAATACCTCGTGCCAGGACACATTTATCTCCCTCCATGGAGACCCCACTCTGAGCGTGCCCACAGCAGGCCACCGCGGCCTCTCGTGCTCCCCCACTCAGCCGGGGGGGGGCTGCTTCCCCCCATGGGGGGCCTGCTCTCAGGTGACTCCATAGAACACTCAGCTTAGCCACGCTCTGCACAAGTCACCGTGACAGCAGGAACCCTTGGTGTCGGCGCCAGGTGGCAAGTGGCCGGGCTTTTTCTTAGGTTCCTGCGCAGGCTCATTTGACACCGCCTTCGACTGGATTCGCCAGGAGCGGACCCCCCTCGGGGACACCACGGCTCGGTTCAGCACCTATCTCTTCCGCAACAGCTGGTACTGGCTGTACGAGAATCGGAACAACCGGACCCGGTACGGGGACCCCCTCCCCATCCTCACCGGCTGGCGCGGGGTCCCAGCACAGAACATAGACGCCTTCGTCCACATCTGGACTTGGAGGAGAGACGAGCGCTATTTTTTTAAAGGTAGGGGTCCCGATGGCCGGCTCTGTTTCTCTTGAACGAGTGCTTTCGGAGAGTGTTTTGCGCCCTGACTGGGGAGCCGTCCGTAACGCTCTTAAACTTAATTCTGTCAGTTCTGTCGGGCTGTGAGCTCTGAGCACAGGGACTGTGCTGTGTCCTCATCTCTTAAGCAGGCACTGAATGGATGCATCGAATGAATGAGTGAGTGGACTGGGCGGGGCTCTGACGAGGTTGCCAAAGAACTGTAAGAAAGCGCCCTCCCTGCAGAAGTTTTCATCTGATTCTGGAGAGAAACCCCCCCCCCTCGCACCCCTCCCCAATGACAAGTGTGTGAAGGGGTAGAGCGAGCAGTGGGGACAACTGCTGTGACCCCAAATCAGGTGCGGAAGCTGCCCCAGGAGTCAGGACTGGAAGAAGGGGTAGGACCTGGAGTGCCCAGGAGAGGACCCTGAGTTGGGGGCCATGGGGGGCTTGGAGGCTGGGAGCGAACGAGCGGATGAGGCAGCTGTGCCCTGGAGGTGGCCAGGCGCACACACGATGGGTGAGGCTGGAAGGACAGGGTCAGCCCCGCCAGAGCCTCGAATGGGAGGCCCAGGCAGCACGGAATGGAGGCAGCTCTGGGTGGGAGGGTCAGTGTTCTGGGGGAGGCAGGACCCGAGGTGGGGGCCTGGCGGTCTTGGGGAGCACCCGGAGCAGCGGTGTGTGTAGGCGCTGCCTTTCCTTCCCCTGCAGCCGGAGTCCCAGCACAGAGCCATGTTGCTTTAAATGGGAGCCGGGAGTTAACCCCGAGGCAAGAGCCAGACTGACACAACTTTGCATGCAAAATCTGCCCTAAGAAATCCATGAATACGTTTAGTCCTAATGTTCCTTCACGTCATACAAAGCATTCTTTCAGTTCAGTGACATAAAGGCATGGTCTCCGGCAGACTTCTGTAGTTTGGATGTTTCAGAGTAGGGAGCACACCCTTCTGTGGTTTAAGTCCTGACTGTAATCGATATTGGCAACACCTGGACCCCTGGGGTCAAGTCTAGAAGTAACTCGGGGAAAGCGTTCATCTGGGGGGAGGCCTCACTCAGATGCGGGAGTCCAGCCTCCTCCCACAGTCCCCGCAGGACTCCTCAGTCGGCTGGGGCCTGTACGGAAAGCTGTTGCTCTGTCCTTTCCGACTTAGCGGTAATAAGCCACGGCAACACTTTTGTTTGGCTCCCAGGAAATCGGTACTGGAGATACGACAGCGACAGGGATCAGGCCTACACGAAAGATGAGCAAGGACACAGCTACCCCCGGCTGATCTCAGAAGGGTTTCCTGGCATCCCGAGTCCCCTGGACACCGCCTTCTATGACCGAAGGAAGCAGCTGATTTACTTCTTCAAAGGGTCCTGGGTAAGTGGAGGCTGTGCAGCCTGGTGTTGCTTTTATTTTTATTAATACTTTTATTAATTTCAGAGAGGAAGGAAGAGGGAGAGATAGAAACATCAATGATGAGAGAGAATCACTGATTGGCTGCCTCCTGCATGCTCCCCACTGGGGATCGAGCCCGCAACCTGGGCATGTGCCCTTGACTGGAATCGAACCTGGGACCCTTTAGTCCGCAGGTCGACGCTCTATCCACTGAGCAACACCGGCCAGGGCCTGGTGTTGCTTTTACCATCCCTGACTGAAATGTCAGGCGACCACGTTCTTGGTTAACGGCTGTGCTGTCGCTGCCCTGGCCGGGTGACGTGGTTGGTTCGAGCATCGTCCCGAGCCCCGGGAGGTCCATCCTGATCAGGGTACTTTCTAGGAGGCAGCTGATCAATGTTTCTCTTTTACATCAATGTCTGTCTGTCTCTCTCTGCCTTCCTCTCTCTAATGATCAATAAATATATCCTCAGGTAAGAATTTAGAAATTTAAAAAAGGTGGTGTTGTTAGTGCATGCCTAAATGGCAATGACAGATCACCCCATCATGTGGAAAATTAAGAACCTTATATATTTTTTAAAAGATATCTTTATTAATTTCAGAGAGGGAGAGGGAGAGGGAGAGAAACATCAATGATGAGAATCATGGATCCGCTGCCTCCTGCACGCCCCACTGGGGATGGAGCCTGCAACTGGGGCATGTGCCCTGACGGGGAATCGAACGTGACCTCCTGGTTCCTGGGTCGGCGCTCAACCGGAGCCACACGGGCCGGGCGAATGTTAAGAACTTGGAGCCCAGGGGATGTGGTGCCGTGACAGACAGGCCTGCTTGGCTGCTGAGCCAGTGATCTCAGAAAGGCCCGCCGTGCTCTCTGCCCTGCAGGTGTTTGCGTTCGATGTCAACAGAAACCAAGTCCTCGGTTCTTCCCCGAAGAAGATGACTGAGGTCTTCCCAGCGATCGAGCCTCGGAACCACCCGCTCCGGAGCCTGGACGCCGCCTACTACTCCTACGCGCACAGGGCCGTCTTCCTGTTCAAAGGCAGCGCCTACTGGAGGGTGGCCAGCGCCGAGGACAGGCAGCGGCGCCCGGGGCTGCCTCCCAACGGCCTGTTCCCGCGGCAGCCCATCCCCCAGAAGTGGTTCGATGTGTGTGATGTCCACACCTCCACCCTGAACGTGTCCTGAGGAAGCAGCCCGTGGACAGAGCCAAAAGGTTTCTCTTCTCAGAGAAAGTCGACTTCTCTTAGAAAACCCACCAGATTTTCACTAACTGAAGCAAGCAGGGCCCCAAGTTAAAACCAAAGCGAAAGTATGATTGAACTTTTAAAATACTTGATTTAAAAATCCATTTCTTGATTGATTTTTTGAAAATTTTTTTTTTACCAAATGATTTTACAGATTTTTTTAGGACAGGTTAAAAAAATCACTGAGGAATCCGTCTGTTTCCCACGGATGCTAGGGCTCGCGGCCGAGGTCCCAGCACGTCTGCCAGCACGCGCACCCCCATTTCCAGGGCAGGCAGGCACCAGGCGCGTCCTGCCCCAGGTCAAACTCGGGGTCGCTCTGGACCCGCATCCTCATCCAGCCGGGGGCCGTGCGCTCTGCCCACTCCTGGGTGCTCTTTGCTTGAAAACAGGCCTGTACCCCAACGGCCCTGGACAGACACTCTCTGGCCGGCCCCTCAGAGCAGGAAACACTCCCGGGCAGTTCACTGCCAGCGTAAGGCTCCTGAGCTCACCACGTAAGCTTGCTTCCCAGGTCAGTGACCTTGAGGACAGGCACTGTGTCCCTTTACCTTTCACGTGACATCACTTCTTAACACAGACAGAACCGTGTCTTCTGGAATGACGGACATTTGGGCACGGAGGGGAACTGGGAAAGGACCGACAGTCCCATGATCAGGCCACAAACACAATTTTTTTTTTTTGTTTTTTGGCGCCCTGACCGAGAATCAAACCCAGGACCCTTCAGTTCACAGGCTGATGTTCAATCCATTGAGCCACACCGGCTAGGGCCACAATTCTTTTAAAGGAACAGCTAAAACACAAGCACTTTGAAGCAACTTTAAATTAAAATCAGCAAATTACAAAACATTGTGAAGCACCTTTCCCATAGGAATTGCACACCACACTTTGACAAGGGAAGACAGCCGGGCCGGTATCTTCTCGCTTAGAGACAAATTACCCTGGACTGAAAGGCTGCTCGGCCGCGGGTGCCGCAGGCCAAGATGAGCGTTGCTCGGGTGTCTGCCTCCGGCTCTTTCCGCAGAGAGACCCTCTCTGATCAGGAATCCACTGGAAGAGGTCCACGGGCGAGTCCAGGCTAACGACAGAGGATCGCGATGCCGCGTGCTCGCCGCAAGGACAGCGAGCAGACATGGCTGACTCACAACTGCTTCACCATTTAGTCAAAACATTAGGTGCTTCAACGACTAACTTTTGAAAATGGATGCAAATCTGTCCAAGGACAATGCAAATAAACAACAAGGAAGTGGACAAATGGCGAGAGAGAGGCCTGCACGCGTTGCCGGGTCCGGGCGGGGTCGGGCGACCCCTGACAATCTGCCCGAGGACGCAGTGTGTGAAAACCCAGCTGGAAACAGGTCTCCCGTTTCCAGGGCAGGTCAGCCTTCTTCGGGTGTCGCCGGAGGGGCTGCCAGGCGGCCTGTGGGATCGACCCAGGGCTGGCACTGAAGGCCGACGGGCAGGGGACTCGCAGGCCGGGCCGCTTTCGTCCACAGCGGCGTGGCGCATGAGTCTACGTGTCACCCTGGCGGGACGAGCACAGCACCGCCCAGACCCGGGAGAGTGGGCGGTGTGTGTGCAGCCGCCGGGAGCCACGTCGCCGTGACACGTATGAACGTCCAGGGAGAAGTCAGTGGATGGCAGAGCCTTATTTTTAATGCTTTTAAAATCTTAATTTGTAAAAATTTTTTTAAAAAAATATATTTTATTGATTTTTCACAGAGAGGAAGGGAAAGGGATAGAGTTAGAAACATCAATGAGAGAAACATTGATAAGCTGCCTCTTGCACGCCCCCTACTGGGGATGTGCCTGCAACCAAGGTACATGCCCTTGACCGGAATCGAACCTGGGACCCTTGAGTCCACAGGCCGACGCTCTATTCACTGAGCCAAACCGGTTAGGGCTGTAAAATTTATTAATCAAACCAGTTCAAATCAAAATTTGATGTAAACAACGTGAAATGAAAAAAGACAAAGACATTTTAAATAAATAACTTATTTATTCAAAATAGTTTTCTGACCTTATTCACAGTTTCAAGTTTAAAATAAAAGTGGGGGTAGAACCTATTCTTGGTCAACTGTCATCCAAGTCAAAGGGAAGTGGGTCCTTCAGAACACGCACTAACACGGAGAACTGCACGACGGCTGGTCTTCGGAAACCCCGCACTGAAGCTTAGAAAGGCGACTTCTTTCCGTGCCGTTCAGAGGGAAACGCTGTGGCTCTAACCACGTGACCACCGATGTCCCCGGGTAAAGGTCCCCTTGACCTAACGTAACATTTATCCAAAATAATTGTGTCTGAAACCCACGTAGCTTAACATACTCAACACTTACAGTGTGACGGCACCGCACCTCCGCTTCTGAGAGCAGCGCGGAGCCGCGTCTCACTCTGATTCCGGCACTTCCCACGCGGAAGCGGGGCTCGCCGGCCCATCTGTGGGGAATGAGGACGCTGTGCTGCCGCGCGGTGCCCACTGGAGCGGGTACCTCCCACGCGTTTAATAACGAAGCACCGAGTGGACAAACCGGCCCGAGTGCAGAAGGCACGGACGAGGCACCTGGGGCGTGGCCCTGGCGAGTCACTGCACGGCGCTGCCGCGCGCGAGCTGGTCCAACAGGTGGACGAGGACGTCGATCCTTTCCGGGAGGCTGGTGTTTTTGTTGGTGGTAGCTCGCAGAAGCTGGGAGTAAATGTGCTTGTTGGTTTTGAGGGCCACATCTTCTTCCACGTTATTGCTGGGTGAACAGAACAGAACAGGACAAAACAAAAAGAAGGGACGTAAACAGTGATGCCCCTTCCCCCCCGTCACAGTCCCCGTGTCTGCAGGGAGCAGGTGCTCGTCATGCCTGGTCCACACCTTGGGGATTGGTTGCTTGGGCGTTTCTAGACGTTCCTTTCCACACATCAATGAAAACCAAGGCCATTCCTTACACAATCGAGTGCCTGCCGCAATGTACAGGCAATGCTCCTGGCCGCGAGCAGAACGGCCGGCCTGTCCCTGCCTCCCTGGCCTCTGCACTCTGTGGGGTGGAGGTGGGCAGACAGCACTACCCAGCAGGAAGGAGTGTCCGACGACACACGCTGGGAAGGAACTCCAGGGAGAGGCTGGCTGGGAGCTCCCTCAGCCGGTGTTCACATCGGAAGCATCTGGGGGCTGCCTCCCTGGAGCGAGAATTCCCTCGGACTCGCAGCCCAGACCCGACTCATAGGACTACTGCGCCTCCACCTGGCTGCGATGCCGGCGCAGCTTGTGTGCAGGCCCCGGGGCTGGTCCCAGCAGTTCCCACTGAACACCCACCCCAGGTCCTGAGGGAAGACGGGCCAGAGCACACCCGTCCCTCCCCAGCGTCGGTGCAGGAGGAGGCCCGCACGCGCGCTCACCTTGTCTTCTTCTTGGCGGGAGACAGCAGCCTGATGGACTGGAGCAGCAGGAACGCCAGCCGGGACTCGAAGATGCCGAGCAGCTTGAGCACCTCCTCTCTGTTTAGACCAGGAGCCGAGTCGGCCACGGGCGTCGGCTCCTCACTCTTGGGCTGCAAACAGGGAGTTTCTCACCAAGTTTCCCAGCAGCTCCGGTTCACGCTGAAGCAATGGGCCTGGGTTCCATGAACCCAGCAGCTTTAAAGGAAACCCAGCGGCCAGCACCCAGCTCTTTCTTCAGGGCAGGCCGATGGGTGCGGTGGCGGCGGAGGCAGAGGCTGTGAGCAGCATCTCCTCCTCTGCCCTCCCAGCATCACTTTAATGAGCTCAAACAACACAAACTGTCTCACAACTAACAGGCACCTACGAAGAAGAAACTAACCCTGAACGAAGACCTAACTCCCCACCATCAGACGCAAAGGGAACAGGATGGCGATGGGTCCCCACGGGGCCTGACAAGCCGGGGCCAGGGGAGCCGCCGGCTGGGGCAGCGCGGGCCCCGGGAGGTTCCCGCTCGGTGGCAGCAGCAGGGACGCCGGAAGCCCGCACACCAAAGGCCCCCCCGAGCCAGCTCAGCCCACTCACCGCCCCATTGCTCCCGGAAGTTTAGCAGAAATTACAAGAGGGCACAGGCCCTTCTTTCTCTTAGAAAAACAAAACACACAGGAAAGCAAAACTTAACAGACTGAACCCCAGGGCCTTCCTAACCAAGGTCTACGTGGTTATTTTAAAATGTAAAGATACACTGCAACTTCAAGAGTTAATAATTCCCCCAAGAAAACGTACCAAGTCACTGTGAGTGTTTATGCAGAGCTGAGACATGTATGTTCGTATGTACAGGGTGGGGCAGCCCAACAGCTGATTCTTGTATTGTTATTTGTTAATTGTTGTATTCTTCTCCATACGGACCACTGTAAACCTACTTTTGCCCACCCTGCACACACACACACACACACGCCCCCACATGCCTGCTACGTGCATTCACCCCTCGGCACAGACATGGAACACAGAGAGCACCCTTCTCCCTTACCTGGCCCAGCTCCTCCACGAGCTCCTTCCTGAGGAGCTGGAACGCGTGCTTCGTTCTCACCATGATGTCCAGAGCCCCAGAGAGTGTTTTCAATTTCCCGACGTTGCTGTTCTGACCTAGAGTGTGAGACACGCAGTGGCCGGTCCTGTGCGTGGAATCTAGACCCCCAGCCAGTCGATGCGCTAATAACAAGTCTGACTTTCAAACGCTGTCAAGGGAGCTCAAGAGACGCACATCTTCTAACCCCAACCTTCCTTAGCAACGACCCCAGAGGAAAGTGTGCGTCTGCCTAGAGCAGTGGTTCTCAACCTTCCTAATGCCGCGACCCTTTAATACAGTTCCTCATGTTGTGGTGACCCCAACCATAAAATTATTTTCATTGCAACTTCATAACTGTAATTTTGCTAGTTATAACATATCATGTAAATATCTGATATGCAGGATGTATTTTCATTGTTACAAATTGAACATAATTAAAGCATAGTGATTAATCACAAAAACAATATGTAATTATATATGTGTTTTCCGATGGTCTTAGGCGACCCCTGTGAAAGGGTTGTTCGACCCTCAAAGGGGTCGTGACCCACAGGTTGAGAACCGCTGGCCTAGAGCAACAGCTAGTCCCCGGTCCCCTGCCTCCCACTTGGTCCTGCCGAGCGAGCACAGCTCTTGGAAGAGTCTGGTTCGAGTGGACCAGCCGGGAGGAGCCTGCGGCACGAAGGCCACCCCACCACGGACCAGCCCCATGATGCTGGGCAAGTCTCTGTGGCACTAAGTACCAGGTGTCCCACCAACTTGCTGTTCACAGCAGCCAGACCAGCTGAGCCAGGATTCGATTTATCCTCTGACCTGAATAAACTTCAGCCACCAGACACCACCAAGCTCCCACCCCCCCCTCGGGAGCTCACATCGTTGTTACCGGACCTGGCCCAGCGCCTGCAGGCAGCCTGTTCCAGAAGCCCACCCCCAGCTGCAGCATCGTCCATGTTACAGGGAGTCAGGGGCCGCCTCTCCTCTCCCGCTGCTCCCTCACCCCAGTTGTCCACGATGACTTACATCTTTGTCTAAACTGCCCTGTCACCATTTTTTTCAAATATGGGCTCCTGGGCTATGGTTCAACATTTCTAGTCACCAAATAGAATCTAGTCCATTTCTCTAAGTTTAAAAGGCACTCTGGTCTCTACCCAAAGTCACTGACTGTGGGAAAAAGAACAAAGACAAAAAAACCCACTCCTTATGCCTGGAGAGACCGCAGGTCTGCCTGGCTCTAGGAGAACCCAGCCTGACGCCGACGCCCACTCTAAGGAGGGAGACAGACTTACTGCTCATCTGGAACTCGGCGAAGGCCACCCGCTCCAGCTGCACCCGCAGCAGCTCGCAGGGCGTGTCCTTGAGCAGCTGGAAGAGCCTCCCCGCTTGGCCGTAGTGCAGGTCGGCCAGCACGCGGTGCTGCTTCCGGAGGTACTCGTCCCCGACCTGGAACCACAGGCAGTGAGAGCAGCGGGAGGCGGGGCTGCGCCACAGCATCACCTCGTCTCCGCCTGGGCCACGCGTGATTTCAGTGGCGGTGTTTGTATGTGTTACGGTTTTAGCTTTCACATTGAGGCCTTCGCTCCACTTCTGGGTAACTCAGGAGTCAACCCCGTTTGGCACATGGATGCCCACCGTCTCAGCGCATTCACTGAAAAGACCATTCTTCCCCCACTGGCTTGTCCTGGACTGTTAAGCTCGCTTTTGCCTTGAGACTATGAGGCCACCTGAGCAAACTGGAATTGTGGTTAGGGGCCTCCTGTGGGCAAAGGGAGAGTCGAGGGCCTCAAGGACAATCATCTCAGAAGTAACCCTCGCCCAAGGGAGTGCAGAGAAGCGCGTGGAGCTGAGCTAAGAAAGGAAGCCCACGAAATGAAAGCCGACCCGAGGGACTGAGCGGACTCTAGCAGGAGCACGCAGCCTTCCTGGAGGCGGCCCCTTCAGCCCAGGCCTCCAGGGACGGACGCAGGCACACAGGCGCCTGAGCACCAGGCTCCGTGCACAGACTCTTCAGAGATTAGTTCTCATAAGTTCAGCCGAACAACAAAAAGTCCAGCAATCACTGCAGGGATGAACAAACTGTGATGTAATCACGAAGACTACTGCGCTGAGGAAATGAGCAGCCACACGCACCACCTAGAGCAGCGCTTCTCAACCTGTGGGTCGCGACCCCTTTGGGGGTCGAACGACCCTTTCACAGGGGTCGCCTAAGAACATTGAAAACACATATATAAATACATATTGTTTTTGTGATTAATCACTAGGCTTTAATTATGTTCAGTTTGTAACAATGAAATTGGGGGTCACCACAACATGAACTGTATTAAAGGGTCGCGGCATTAGGAAGGTTGAGAATCACTGACCTAGAGGAACCTCAACGTGATGCTAAGGAAAGGCCACTAAGCCACAGAAGAAACGCACAGTACGGCTCATTCTACACCGTTCACAAGCAGGTAAAGGTGTACACATTGCCCTGGCCGGTGTGGCTCAGTGGGTCGGGCGTTGTCCTGTGCACCAAAAGGTTGCCGGTTTGACTCCTGGTCAGGCACAAGCCCAGGTTGCAGGCTCCATCCCCGGTTGAGGTTGTGCAGGAGGCAACCGATCGCTGTTTCTCTCTCCCTCCCTCTCCCTTCCTCTCTAAAAATCAACAAAAGATCTTAAAAAAAAAAAAAAAGCCAAAAAGACCATACTGTCTAAGTGGTAAAACACAGAGAAGGCATAGAAAATGCAGGATGGTGGCTACTCTGTGGGTGTGGGGAGATTCCATAGGGAGGGGCACCCAGGGACCCTGTAGCACTCTTCCACCCTCAACCTCAACGCCGAGCACGCAGGGCTTTCCTTTTGGGATTCTTCCCGTAGACGTTTCCCGTAAGTCCCTACGTGCTCTATTTCACAATAAAAAATTTCGAAGATGGGAAATGGGTACTTCAAGATTTACACAAAGCTACTCTTATAAAGCCTAACTATATTTTAAAAATCAAAATATGCCGAAACCGGTTTGGCTCAGTGGATAGAGCGTCGGCCTGCGGACTGAAGGGTCCCAGGTTCGATTCCGGTCAAGGGCATGTACCTGGGTTGCGGGCACATTCCCAGTAGGAGATGTGCAGGAGGCAGCTGACCGATGTTTCTCTCTCATCGATGTTTCTAACTCTCTAGCTCTCTCCCTTCCTCTCTGTAAAAAATCAATAAAATATATTTAAAAAAAAAATCAAAATACTACACCCAGGCAAAAATATACCCTTAGCGAACTAAGACCCAATTGATTACAGTACAGAAAAATATGGGG